GAATCTTTGGAAGAAAATCGAACATTTAGGTTCAAGAATGCATAGCGAACTACCTCGATGGAGGCTACATGCGATGTTTGTGGTGTCTGGGACAGATGGTCGCCTTAGCTCTTACGATAGGTGAGAGCTGATACATGCCAACCTCCACCTCTGACGATCTCAATGAAAACTTCACTTTCAGTGACATGCCTCTGTATTGCTCGTCCACATCCGTTGCTACTCTGGCCACAATTGATCATTCAGAACTCCTACTGTTTCGGTCTGGTGATTCTGACGATCGCCACGGCCGACAAGCTGCTCGTCTCCATCCTCCACCCGACCAATCCACATCTTAGTCTGCTAATTCTCTATTTTGGCATAGGCACTTGTACAAACCACATCTTCGACTACATACTCTGGCATTATTACTGGCACGAGGAGTTCCAGTACATCAGTCGGACTGGGAAGCATGTGATTCCTTTCTGGGTGTGATCCAATTGATCTTATCACTGTCTTTGTGCTCCATTGATCTCACTCTTTCCCAACGATACGCAAGAACTCGAGCTTTAAGTTATTACGCTCGTATCAGTGCTTCAATATGATGTGTTTACTTAATCTGTCTTAGGATGGCCATTCACCTCCACGTTTCAGTTGATTCTTATTTGATCCTATCTTACTATTTAATGCTCAACATCTCTTATCATTTTTGTACTTATCTATCCTCCGCGGTTTTTTTTACAGAAGTGCCTTCGTTATAAATTTCATCGTATCAGATAAGTGCAGGAAAAGCATGACAATGAAAATTCTTAAGGAAGAGAAAATTTTTGTTACATTATATAGTATTTGACAAGATATTCAACTCACATCTTATTCATAAATCTTAGCAATATATAGAGAAATCGATTTATGGATTAATTTATGAAAGTGACGTGAGAAGTAGCTAAACGTTACACACCGAAAGAAGAGACGTTAGTATTATGAGCGTAGTTATTAAATTAGAACGATGAAATAGGGAACTATAGTTTTACTGCGGTTACAGTAGAATTTTCCTTTCAAGAAAACTTCAAATTCACGTTGACGTAAGGGCATTTATTCATTCCTTTCTGCATTAGAAATTTATTTCTCACTTGTCTTGTTAAACAATATCTTTTTGCCATCTGCAGTTTTCTTTTTTTCTTCTCTTTATTTTTGAAATCACTTTTTTGAATAAAAAGAAGTTGCA